CCACATTGTTCTCCCTCTTTATGCAGGATCTCCTACATCCCTTCCAAGTGGATGGCAGTAGAAAACCAAAAATTCTTGGAAACATTTAGTCCTAGTGACTGGTACACCATGCAGTCTGCAGCCTGTATGACTATGAGACCAGAAGAACTAGAGGGTGCCTGGTTACCACTGTCAACCACTTGGAAGGGGATCTGTGTAGGAGATCTTGCATAGAGAGGGAGAACAATGTAGAACAAAACTCAGAATCACTTGGAGGAAAAAAAAGGGGGGGGGGGACCAGGTTTCCTGGTCCGATAGTGCCTGGTGGAACCAGTGAGACTATGGCCCCTAGCTGCCCTTCACGGTCTGGAATTGAACCCACACCTGTGGCTTCCACCCAAACAGGGCACAGGCATATGAGTTGAGCATTTGCCTTGGGTAGATACGCTCCTTGGGAAGAACAATCATGGAAGAAAGGGCTGCGTATGCACAGGGAGACAGCTCAGGGAGCAGTAGTGCATGGAGTGATGGACACAGGGAAGAGGTAACTGTCAGGAGGAAGTGGGAAGGGAGCTGTTGCATTGTGGTAAATTGTGGTCAATGTCATGAGACAGTGTGTGTAACTGCTGTATGGAAAGTGAATTTGCTCTGTAAATTTTCACCCAAATCATAATTAAAAAAAAAAAAAAAAATGAAAAAGTAGAGAGAAGATTGAACTTGTCAGGGATGTCATTGTAATTGGATCCACAATCAAAACCCATGCAAGCAGCAATCAAGAAATCAGACATCGTATTGCACTGAGCAGATCTTTTGCAAAATACCTCTTTAAAGTGTTGAAGAGCAAAGATGTCACTTTGAAGACTAATATACGTCTAACTGAAGCCATAGTATTTTCAATTGCCTCATATGCACGTGAAAGCTGGACAATGAATAAGGAAGTCCAAAGAGTTGATGCCTTTGAATTGTGGTGTTGGCAAAAGATATTGAAAATACCATGGACAGCCAGAAGAACAACAAATCTGTCCTTAAAGAAGTGTAACTGAATGCTCCTTGGAAGTGAGATGGTCATGTTGTCAGAAGGACAAATCCCTGGAGAAGGATGTCATGCTTGGTAAAGTAGAGGGTGAGCAAAAAAGGGGAAGCTCCTCAACGAGATGGATTGATAAAGTGGCTGCAACAACTGGCTCCAGCATAACAAGGATTGTGAGGATGACGCAGGACCAAGCAGTGTTTTGTTCTGTTGTACGTGGCATCTCTGAGTCAGAGCAGACTTGACGGCACCTAACAACAACAAGAGAGATTAGTTTGCATCATATCTACCACCACAACCAAGAAGAACTATAAAGTTGGATTTATATATATAATTACTGTAGCAACACTTACTACAGTTTGTGTCTATGGAAAAGCATTGGTGACATAACTAAGCAATCAAGACTTTTATGGTCAAGATCCTATAGAGAAGAGAGGGAGTGCAGAGAGTGCCACTCAATGATCAGTACCACATTTTCTTTTTTCAGCTATGCTAACAGTAGCTGAAAATCTAGAATGCTGAACGGAGTATTCTAGTTTCGTAAAGCTAGAGAGAGAAAAACTGAAATTACCGCTGGCCAGGGTACAGGATCCTTAGTAAATCATTCAAGCTTTCAACTGTAGCCATTCAAAGATTACATTCTCAGAATAAGGGTGAAACAGAAAGAAACAAGCCCTCTCAAAAATTGAAACCCAGCCTCTAAGCACTTCATTTCCTGGTCTAGCTTTAGCCTTACTGCCTGCCAGAAGTAAAAGTAAATACTATCTGCAGGAAGATATTATCCAGAACCTTGCATTATCCTTATGATTTTCCTATACCATGCCTGGCATGCAGAAAAAATTACCACACATACTGTTGTTGTTGTTGTTGTTTTGTGCCATCAATTTGGACCCGACTCATGGCGACTCCCCTTGGGTTTCCGAGGCAGTATCACTACTTAAGTAGATTGCCTAACCTTCCTTAGGCACTATGCTACCAGAGCTCTACCAAATGCCTGGAAAAAAAAGAGATTATCAGCAACAGAAATGAAAAGACAGGCTAGCAGTTAGTACATACAGACCCACAGGATTCCAGTATTGGAATTTTCAGAAATGGATTTCAAAATCACTATGTGATATGTTCAAGAAGATAGAAAACATGGTGAAGAATTTTCAGCATTTAACTGGGTCCACACAAAACAATCACGTAGAATTTCCAAAAATTTTGGAAATTTTTGGTGAAAATAACTGAAATAATTTCCTCATAGGTTTTAACGAAAGATTAAACAGAGTCAAAGAAAGGACAGGGTAAGTAAAAAAAATTCCAGACTAAAGTATGAACAGGAACTAGAAAGGATAGAAAATAAAGAAAAGAGAACATGGAACATAATGAAAAGATCTGACATACAAGTATTGACTGAGGCAAAAGCATTATTTGAAGAGGTAATGGCCCCTAATTTTCCAAAACCTATGAGAAACATTGAGCCATAAATTTAAGAAGTGGCACAGACCCTACAGATAGATGGTAAGTGAAAATTAAATCAACTTAGGCACACCATAGAAAAATTACTGAAAATAATAACCAACAGAAAATCCTAAAAGCAACCAGAAGAGAAAGACACATTATATTCAGTGGAGCAAAAGTTACACTGAGAGCTGGCTCTCAACAGAGAAAATAGAATCCAGAGGAAAAAGGAGTAATATCTTCAAATGCTGAACGAAGATGACTTAGAATATAGTATATGCAGCAGAAATAATTTTTAAAAATGAAGGGAAATATCCAGACTATAAAAAACTATGGGACACACAACCTCCTTCCTTTGGTAATCAAGAAAAATAAAAGTGTGGAGGGGAACCTATAGGGTAAGAGACCCAAAAAACATCAACCATTAACCTGTGGTTACTTACTGGGATCATGATTCAACTTTAGCAAACTGTTAAAAAGTTTTTTAACATTTTGAAATAACAGGAAATTTGCAAAATTCCTACCTATTTGATGACATAAGGAAACTTGTTGAGTTTGTTTCAGTGTAATAATGATTTTATGGTTCTATTTTAAAAGAGAGAGCTTTATGGCTTAGAGATACACACAGAAATGTGTAGAGATAAATTATTTAATGTCTAGTATTTGCTTCAGAATAATACAGGAAGATAGGGGTAAAAGAACAATGTTGTGTTGTTGTTATGTGCCATCGAGTCAGACCTGACTCATAGCGACCCTCCTTGGGTTTCCGAAGCAGTATCACTACGGAAGTAGGTTGCCCCATCTTCCTTCCGAGGAGTGGCTAGTGGTTTGAACCGCCAGCCTTCTGGTTAGCAGTCAAGTGCCTTAGCCACTATGCTACCAGAGCTCCCAAAAGAACAATAGTGCAGTGAAATGAGGTTGACCTTGAAGCGATCATAATTAAAGCTAGATGGCATGAGAATGCCACTTATTTCTGTACTGTCCATTTTTAAAGAATGTTTGAAATTCTTCATCATAAAAATTTTAAATAAAAAGATAGCATAAAGACATTTTCAGTCAGTAAAAGAGAGAGAGATGTTATCACCAGCAGAATTGAGGAATTCTTTATTCAGGCAAAAAGAAAAATATTTACAAATGGAACCGATTTACTATAGGGGGTAATTCTGAGAGAAGAATAATTCAAAGAGTACTTCTGTTTTTAAATTCATTTACCAGAGGGTATGTAATAAGAAAAAATAAGAACAGGCATTTTTCTAGTGGAAGGTGATGAGTTATCAGAGTAAACAAAAAGTATCAGAGAACCTTAAATTCTTGATCCTAAAAGCCAGTCATGTCTTAAAACTGCCTTTCAGCTTACCACTTTGTATGAGAACTTAAGTATACACACCCAGCAATTAGAAGAAGAGGTAAAAGATCTAGCAGACAAGAAAGAGTCAGTTGCACATTGGGAAGCCCAAATCACAGAAATAATTCAGTGGTGAGTACTCTTTTAAATATTTATTTTTGGGAGTGATTGTAGACATATGATCAAATTATTGTGAATTCCAGGAGGCTACTAACATGTTCTTTATCTTATTTGTTTGCTGTGAAAAATAAGTTACTCTGAAAAGCAGTTTTATTATTGATCTGCCTTTTGTGTTCTACTGTGTTTTATGTTCTATTCCTTTATTTTCTAACTCCAACAAATACCTTATACCAATTTTACACACTTTCACTCAAAGCTGATAATTCTTTCTAAGAAAAGAAAATAGATCTCCTAAGACAGAGTTAATCATTTAAGAACTGAAGAAACTTATCCACTAGCTATAGATGTTCTTTCCTAAGATCAAAACAACTGTATCTGTGATTATTTTAAGAAATAGGATGCCTGGAGAAAAATTTAGAAGATGAAGATTCTGTTTTGTCACCTTCTTTCACAATTATAACAGATTAATTCACACATGGCACTTTAAAAACCTGAATGGTTACACTTCACTTTTATCAGCTGTTCCTTAAGCTCTTCAGTTTTAATTTAGAATAATTATTTTATTAACATTCATGCTGATTGATTTATTAAGTATCAGTCTGGTACTTATAAATATTTGCATATTTTTGTAGTATGTGGAGAAAGTAGAATCCAATAGAAACATTATTCTGTAATAGAAATAGGTAGCTTAACTTTTTATATTTATTTTCTAACTATTTTTCACTCTTTCTGACACATCATGGCTTTTTAATTTATATCAAAACCAGTGCTTCAGACTGGTTCTTCCTAACATAGTCATAGCCAAGGAAGCAAAAGGAGAATAGATCCAAACTGGTAAAATGTTGGTGTACTGGAATAATCACCAAAAAATTATGACTTGATGCCCTGTTAGAAACTTAATCTCCCTCTTAGAAAACAAGAGTAGCATACACATTGCATAACAACCAAATCTATTGAATAGCAGAGCCAGAATTGGTGGTGCCTGGCTCAAAGATGGTGTCGTTCTCCCCCATTGTGGTTACCTAGTGCCACTCTGACAAGAATATACCACAAATGGGATGGCTGAACGAACAGGAGTTTATTCTATTACGGTTTGGTGGCTTTAAATCTGAGTTCAAAGCACCAGGCTCTAGGGGCTGGGTGAAAGCCCCTCAGCCTTGGGCTTCACCTCTGCCTCCTGCTCCCAGCCCACTGGAGGTAGAGGCTTTTCTTCAGTAAGACAGCTGCTGGCTGCTGAGACTGACAAACCCAAGGTTAACACATAAAAAGGCACAGTCTCAATGTTACCAAACCACATGGTAGGCCATTAATTCAAGTCCATTGAAAGTCCCAAGGTTGGCAGAGCATGGCAGGCTGCAGAACAATGCTACATGCAGGGTTTAAGTGTGCCTAAGTTAGAGACCATTCCCAAAGCTGCGTACATATGGAACCAGACCACATCCCTAAAGAAGCTTACTCAGCTGCTTGTGGTAGACCCCACCATGGAGTTGATTGCCAGTCTCATCTTGGGGAATAACTACCACCAGGCTCAGCCAAGTTGACACACAACCTTAATTACCACATCCTCAGTCCTGGCAATAATACAGTCTTCCACATCAGACGCCTGAAAGAGCTCACACCTCTTCTGAGTCTCCTGTTTCAGAACTTTAACTTATAATATTTCTCATTCTGGTTATTGTCCTGGTATATCCACATTTTACAAATTCAAGTCTATTCCAGTTTTGCTGCATCAGCCATAAGGGAATCAATTCAAACCAGTTTGAAGCCCTGATCAAAACAACTAGTTTTCTTCATATATCTGTAGACTAGTCATTTGTTGAGAATATTTGTTTCCTGTGCTAATCTTTCAGTTCTTTAAGTATTTTTCCCATTTTCCTTCCTTGTTTCAAATTACTAGTCTTCTTGTTAAATAAAAAGTGAATAAACACTGTCTTCTTAAGTAATTTTATATAAATGACTCAAATATTTTAATATGACCTTAACTGTAGAGTTCTTATTTTAAATGTCTGCAGCTTATAGATATGTGACTATTCAGTACATATCTAAGGAAAATACCTGATTTATGGAAATTTGGTTGTGTTCCAGATAGCACAGTTAGTGGTTCATTAGTATGTAATTTATATCCATGTCATCAAATCTGCGTTTCTGAAATGAATTATCTTAATCTTTACCCAGGTTTCTAATATCAAAAATCATGATTTCATTTGTAACTCCACTATTATGTACCCAAATTTATAATTAAAGTAGAGTTAAACGTGATTGTATAGATAACAAAGCTTATATGACACTAATACTGAGATCCTAGACCACTGCTCTTTTCCAGTGATGGGCATGATAGGTTCACATGGAATGGCTGGTGGTTCTAGTAAAGGAAGGAAGCTTTAAATGTGAACTCTGTGGAAAGGGATACTAGAGAGAGTAAAGATGAAAGTTGTTATGTGATCCCACAAACACTCATTTATATTTTCTACATACAGGTGATATATATAGAAGAAATCAGGAATACAAGGAAGTCACTTTGCTTAAAAGCTGTTACTTAGAAATTGATTAACATAACAGATAAAAGATCATTGACTACCTAGTCAGCAAAAAGGAGTCCCTCAGTGGTGCATATGGTGCATGTGCTCAGCTGCCAACCAAAAGGCTGGAGGACGGACTCCACCCACAGGTGTCTTGGAAGAAAGGCCTTCTGAAGAAATCCATGGAAACCCTGTGGAGTGCAGTTCTACTCTGATACGCATGGGGGCACCATGACTCAGAATTGACCCTATGGCAGCTGTTCAGTACACTAATAGTAATAGATATATTTCCTATTATCAGAGTTCTCACTTCATTAAAAGTTGGCTCTCTGAGAAATAATATCCAAGTTTAAAAAAGCTAGGCTATTTCAATTTTTTGAAATGGGTATATTAAAACAAGTTATGGCACTTGTGGTATACAATATTTTCAATGATCTATTGGGAAAATTAACAATTTTAATACAAAACGAACAGTACAGTAGATGTAATCTCATTTGAAGACACTTCAAATAACTCTTCTTTCTCTACCCCCTATGTCTTTTCTTGTGAAATATCCCTTTATAGGAGAACTTTTTAGAGCAAGGGACCCTTGCTTCTTACTACTGTAGTGGAGCAAGGACTTACCTTCTCTCCATTGGCTCATCAGAGGCAGTGAATTATTTCAGTCCATCCACATTCTTGCAAACATTTCTCATTCTGTAATCTTCATTTGTGTTGGGTAGTAGCTTATGTTTATTAAAACATAGCATATTCCAGGCATTAGACTAAAAACTCACTCGTTTAATTATGAACAGTCCTGTGAATTAGCTATTATTGTTATTATTCTTATTTTCAGGAAAGAAAACAGAGATTTAGAGGGGGTAGAGGTAAGTGACATACTTGGAGTCAAATAGCTGGTAAGCAGCAGACCTAGAATTTAAATCCAGGTCTATTTGACTCAAGAATCTAAGTATTTAGAGGCGGGGCAAGATGGCGGACTAGGCAGAAGGATTGCACAGACCCTCTTCAACAAAGAAAAGGGAAACCAATAAATACAGACACAGAAGAT